GGCACCTATACCAAGAAAACATACAACATAAAAAAACACATCCAATGCTCTTCCACTTTTGTGATTTATTTGTTACAATGTGGGTGCGGTACCACACGCAAGCTCCATGTCAGACTTTTGGAGCACTTCAACATCAAACTTGATCAGTGTCTCAAAGCATTGTAACTCTTGTTCTTTTCGTTGGGACAATTTTTTAGCGTTTACTTATTCGCCAAGAAGCTTTTTGCATCTTTAATCTGAAAACTCTGCAATAAGGTCTAAATGCAGAAATAGACCTTCAAGGTCTCATAATATGTTCTTGTTACGACACTCCCGGCATAAATGAGTGAAACCTCTGTTTAGAAGATCTTCCCTTCCAGAGACACAGGCACAGCTACTGCAGAACTCCCGAACTGAATACAAGTGAATGCTCCAAACTCCCGAACAGTATACAAAATAGCACTCCAAACTCCCGAACTGGAACCTCACGAATAGCTGCTAGCAGACGAACAGGAAAAGCACCCAAGTGGCTTACACTCCTGGCACTCAGTCTCTAACAGCATGCAGTAAATCCCCCCAAGAACAAGACAAGGCTCCGTGTTGAGGGTCAAGCAATGGTCTGGTTTAATGTGGGCTACCTGCCCAGTATTTATGCAGGTTGTAACGGATCACCTGGCACCCCAACTGGGTACCTCCATTAAAGGATGCTCCTAGCACATCCTGAGGACTCCAAGCACTGCAGCAGACACCAAAACCACCAAACCGTAGGAGCATATGAATGCTCTCAAGCATATGAATGTTGTATACAGCCGAATAGGAAAAACCATGCGAATAGGTTTACACTCCTAGCAGTCAAACTGGAACAGCATACAATAAATCCTCCCCCAATAATGAGACGACACTTGACTTTGAGGGTTAAGCAGGAACTGACTGGACTGGCACATACAGCCTCTTTTATTCCCAATCCACAAACTTAGTACTGCCCACAGGGTTTTACAGAACAACCAATAACACGCACAATACACTCAGACACTCCCACACAAAATCCTCCCCTCTGCCTGTGATACAATTACCTTACACAATGGGTAATCTAATTATCACAGACAGAGAAATACAGTTTCATAAAACACATCACAGGTACCCCAAAACATGCAATAACCCTATAAAAAGTATATCCTTGGAACCGGGGGATCCAAAATTCACACAGATCCGTTCAGTACTTTGGAAGATACAGTTTAATGCAGATTCTGCAGAACATATACAGGCTAAATGAAAAACAATTACTGTATAATGTATCCTCTGCTGTATAGTCCAAAACCACTGCACGATGTCTCTGTGCACCAAATACTGGCGAGATGGCACCGTGTTGAAAAGTCCAAACAGTGTCTGTGAGTTAAAATGGCCACCATCCATTGTTCTCACCATGTATTTCATCCATTGTTCTCACCATGTATTTCATCCATTGTTCTCACCATGTGCCTCTGATACAGGAAATGGTGGCCACCCAGTACCTCCACAGTATGTCCCCAGGTGGTTCTTAAAGGGCCAGCAGCAGCACAACACAAATCCATTATGCCCAAATCATGTCTTTAAAGGGCCATACATCCCAGGGGCCATAGTCACATGGCAGGAGGCTGGCAATCAGTCTTCTCCAATGCCCAGTGCTGAGGTCGGTTTCGCCACATTTCTCCTCTTTTCCAAAAAGACTAACAAGGTATCTGACCTCCTGTCGGTCAGTGTCTTGGTTAGTCCAGCAACCCACCCACAAAACAGAATCCGCAGTATAACCCACCCACGAAAATTGGTTACTACACCTGGAGTAGTGGGTCGCTTGTCCAGGTCCAGGAGCTCCACCTTGGCTCTGGGGGGTACTAGCACTCTGGATCGATGGGTTGCTGGGTGGGCAGAGACCAGCGGTACTCTGCCCTGGTGCCAGCGCTACCACTGGAGTAGCCTGGTTGGAGCCCAGGTAAGGGAACGGCGTAGTAGGCTCCTCACTCCAGACCTGGGTCTGCTGCTGGAGGGGAAGACAGGCTGTCTACCCTTTGGATAAACAGCCCTGCTGCAGGGGGACAGGACCGACTGTCCCTACACCCTGTGGTTTGGGCACAGAGACCATGGTCCCATCTGCACCGGTGTGGGGCTTATCATTTCCCCTTGGTGGGCTAGGCTGCTGCTGGGGAGGGAGAACGAGACTCTCCCCTCCTGGTGAAATACTCTGCTGCTGGGGAGCAGGACCGGCTGTCCGTACTTCCTGTAGCTTGGGCGCAGAGACCACGGTCCCATCTGCGCTGGTAAGGGGCTTAGTGTCTCCCCTTGGTGGGCTACGCTGCTGCTGGGGAGAGGGGGTAACAGGCTCCTCTCCCTGCGACACCCTTTCTTGTTGTAGGGGAAAACAAACTGCCTCCCCTACCAATACCTTGTCCTGTTGTTGGGGACCAGGACAGACTGTCCATATCCCCAGTGGTGCAGGTGCAGAGACTACGGTCCCATCTGCACTGTTGTGGAGCTTACTGTCTCCCCTTGGTGGGCTGGGCTTCTGCTGGGGAAAGGGGGTAACAAACTCCTCTCCCTTACACGCTTTCAGCCGCTGGGGAGAGGGGATAACAGGGTCCTCTCCCTGACACTCTCTCTGCTGGTAGAGAGGGGGACCGACTGTCTCCCCTTCCAATAATGCGCTCTGCCGCTGGGGATCTGGGCCAACTGCCCAGCATCCCTGTAGGGCCCGTAGAGAGATCTCGGTCCCATCTCCACCTGCCATCTGTGGGTCTCTCCAGGACCAGTCTATGTGGTCCCCTACTTCTGCACCTGGTAGTGAAGCAGGGGATACCTCGGCTGCGTTTTCCCAGCTGTAGGCTGGCAGGTCTGGGTCCGCCACCCAGTTTTCCTGTTCTGCGTCCATGCTCTGTGGCTGACATGAGTTTAGTAGTTCCACATAGTCCATCTCTAGCTCCCGTTCCATAGCAGCGAAACGGCGGAGGTCTTGTCCCAGTCCAAAAGATCTCGGGCCCTGTACCATCTCACCCCGGTAATGAGAGGAGAGGATATAAAAAAGTAGATACCTTTTACCTTTACCTTTTACCTTTATCTACTTGAAGAAGCCCTTGAGGCGAAACGCGTCTAGATATTATTTTATTACGTTATAATAAAGAATTTTTGGCATAAAACACTTTATTGCCATTTTGCTTTTCTTTCACCTATATTGCCTATTTTTAGAAGAAGCATAAAGAATCCATAGGTGGGGATTATACCACCTAAGCGCTTATAGTGAGCAGTATATACCTGCTCAAAAGAATGTGAGTAATATACATTTTATACTTTTTAACCTTTTATCATAATACAGAGAGCACTATATATATTTTATTCTCTCCTTCTGGGTCTGTAATTTGGAAGTCAAACGTGTACCAGAGAATCGTCAATTGAAATCTACTCCACATATCCTTGAGTGGGGATTATTCCACTTCACGCGCATAACATCAGAGCTGGATCCTCAGCTCTGAAAAGTGTGAGTAAGACCTATTTTATTATTTTATTCACAACGTATCTACATACTGTACCATTGGAGTCCTGTCTCTTCTTCTTTCCACATATGCTCCATTGAATTCTAAGCATATAACTATGAATATCTGACCTTAGTGTACTGTTTGTCTTGTGTTCTTCCAATTATTAGGGAATTATAGGGGATTCCCTTTTGAGGAGTGCAGCCTTCTTTTATTGTGGCCATTTAGCGCTGATTTTTTTCTGTTTTTTCTAGTGTAAGGGTTACGCCCGCTTCACAGTGACAGACCAAACTCCCCATTTAACGCACTGCAAACAACCGCAAACAGTCCATTTGCACAACCGCAAACTCCCCATTTGCACAAGGTTGGATACCAAGCTAGCGATGTCCCGTTCCTTGTCCTCACTGATGTCATTGAAGGTCTCTTCCTCCACCCAGCCACGTACAACACCAAGGGTCCCCAAAAGGTGACAACAAGCCCCCTGGGACGCCTGCTGTGTTTGGTCTTCCACCTCCTCAAAGCCACCTTCCTCCTCTGACTCCTCTTCTTCAGACTCCTCTCTCTGCGTTGCCTCTCTCTGTGTTATTATAAGGTGTGTTAAGTAGTACTATTCCTATCAGTTTGATCCCTGTTACGTCCCCTATCAGGGGACGTGTATATGGCATCGATTTTAGGAACCGGGAGATGGAAAAAGATGCTTGGTCGGTCCTCCTACTTCAAATTTGGGGCACTGCGCGTGCAATCTAATGTGCCACCAGATAGGAGTGGTGTGTTAAGTAGTACTATTCTTATCAGTTTAATCCCTGTTATGTCCCCTATCAGGGGACGTGTATATGGCATCGATTTTAGGAACCGGGAGATGGAAAAAGATGCTTGGTCGGTCCTCCTTCTTCAAATTTGGGGCACTGCGCGTGCAATCTAAGTGCCACCAGATAGGAGTGGTGTGTTAAGTAGTACCATTCTTATTAGTTTAATCCCAATGTCACGACTACTAGTGTGGTCCAGCACGCAGAAACTATGTAAACATATACATAAACAAGAAAAGGAAAATAAAAGGACAGAGCGTAAACCAGACCTTTGAATGGCCGGACTAATACGCTAGAGACAGAGAATGGTCAAAGGGAAAGCCGAGGTCAAGGAAGCCAGAAAATACACAATACCGTTTACACAAGCCAAGTCAGGGAAACCAGAATTCAGAATAACCAGGGAAAAGCCAAGATCAGGATACCAGGAAATCAGATTCACAATGATAAAGCACTCTCAGGAAACCAGGAACAGGAAACCACGACAGCGCAAGCTACTGGGGTGAGCTAGGGATTAAAATATCATGCGGCGGGCCGGCAGCCGCGACACCCTGTTACTAGTGATGTACCGAACGGTTCGCTGGCGAACGGTTCCTGGCGAACATAGCATGTTCGCGTTCGCCACGGCGGGCGAACATATGCACGGTTCGATCCGCCCCCTATTCGTCATCATTGAGTAAACTTTGACCCTGTACCTCACAGTCAGCAGACACATTCCAGCCAATTAGCAGCACACCCTCCCTAGCAGACCCTCCCACCTACTGGACAGCATCCATTTTAGATTCATTCTCAAGCTGCATGCTTAGTGAGAGGAGGGAAAGTGTAGCTGCTGTTGATTTGATAGGGAAATGCATAGCTAGGTTAGTATGCTTTTTTTTCTGTGTAATGTAATTGCAGTTAGTTGTCTGCCACTGCTGCCAGCTTCAGTCAGGCTCACAGTGGATACTGTGCCCATTTCTCAGTCAGTGCCACCACTTATATCTGGTGTCACAATAGCTTGCATTTAAAAACAAAAACTTTTTTCACTGTTATAGATTGAATAGCAGTCAGTTGTCTGCCACTGCTGCCAGCTTCTGTGTCAGGCTCACAGTGCATACTGTGCCCATTTCCCCAGTCAGTGCCACCACTTACATCTGGTGTCACAATAGCTTGGATTTAAAAACAAAAAACTTTTTTCACTGTTATAGATTGAATAGCAGTCAGTTGTCTGCCACTGCTGCCAGCTTCTGTGTCAGGCTCACAGTGCATACTGTGCCCATTTCCCCAGTCAGTGCCACCACTTAGATCTGGTGACACAATACTTGCATTTAAAACAAAAAACTTTTTTCACTGTTATTATACATTGAATAGCAGTCAGTGTCCTTAAAGCGGGTGTGTTACGCTAACAGTGGATACGGTGACCAGTGCCACCACTTAGATCTGGTGACACAAAGCTTGGATTTAAAAACAAAACACTTTTTTCTCTGTTATAGATTGAATAGCAGTCAGTGTCCTTAAAGCTGGTGTGTTACACTAACAGTGGATACGGTGACCAGTGCCACCACTTATATCTGGTGACACAAAGCTTGGATTTAAAAACAAAAAACTTTTTTCTCTGTTATAGATTGAATAGCAGTCAGTGTCCTTAAAGCGGGTGTGTTACGCTAACAGTGGATACGGTGCCCAGTGCCACCA